ATTCAATTTTCAGCATGTGGAAAGCCAGTTTTCTCAGCATCATTTATTAAAGAAGCTATCTTTCTTCCAGTGTAGATTTTTGGCCTCTGTCAGAGATAAGGTAGCTGAGTTAAAGTTGCTTCTCCATCTTCTATTCTGTTCCATTGGTCATTGGGTCTTTTTTTTTTTTTTTGGCCAGTACCGTCCTGTTTTTATCATGGTAGTTTTGTAGTACAAATTCAAATCAGGAATTGTTATGTCCCCTGCCTTGCTATTATTGCTCAGAATTGCTTTTGCTATTCTAAGTCTCTTCTGGTTCCATATGAATTTTAGAATTGTTTTGTCTAGTTCTCTGAGATATGCTATGGATATTTTGATTGGGATTGCATTAATTCTGTATACCAGTTTTGGAAGTATGGCCATTTTCACTATATTGGTTCTGCCTATTCAAGAACAGGGCATATCTTTCCACTTTTCTGATATCCTCTTCAATCTCCTTTTTCAGAGAACTGTAGTTTTCAATGTATAGCTTTTTCACTTTCTTTGTTAGACTGATTCCTAAGTATTTCATTTTTCTTGATGCTATTGTGAAAGGTGTTGTTTCCCTAATTTCTCTCTCAATGAGTTTGCTATTCGTGTACAGGAATGCTATTGATTCTTGAGTGGTGACTTTGTATCCTGCTATATGCCAAATATGGTTATTTATTTATTTTTGGTACAGGGGTTTGAAATCAGGACCTTGCACTTGTGAGGCAGGCAGTGGAACCACTGAGCTAAATCCCCAGCCCTCAAATTTGGTTATTAATTCTAGGAGTCTTTGAGTGGCGTTTTTAAGGTCTTCTATGTAGAGTTATCACATCATCATCAAGTAATGATAATTTAGCTTCTTCCTTTCCTATTCCTATTCCTTTTATTTCTTTCTCTTGTTTAATTGCTCTGGCTAATGTTTCCAGAACTATATTGAACAGGAGTGGTGATAGTGGGCATCTTTGCCTTATTCTTGATTTTAGAGTGAAGGGTTTCAGTTTTTGACCATTTAGCATGATGTTGGCCATTGGTTTGTCATAGATGGTTTTTATCAGATTGAAATAAGGACCTTTTATTCTGATTTTTTTTTGGATTTTTATCATGAATGGACTTTATCATGTTGGACTTTGTGAAATGCTTTTTCTGCATCTACTGAGATGATCACTTGCTTTTTGTCGTTGGATCTGTTGATGTGGTGTATTTCATTTATTGATCTGTATATATTGAACCATCCCTGCAGCTCTTAGATGAATCCTCCTTGGCCATAATGTACAATCTTCTTGATGATTTGCTGCATTCTGGTTGCCAGTATCTTATTGAGGATTTCTGCCTTTCTGTTCCTTAAGGGGATTGGCCTGTAGTTCTCTTTTTTGGTTGGATCCTTCTCTTGTTTTGGTGTAAGGGTAATGCTTGCTTCCAGGAATGAGTTTGGGAGTATTGCTTCCCTTTCAATTTCATTAAAGAATTTGAGGAGTAGTGACATTAGATCTTCTTTAAAGTTCTTGTAGAATTCAGCAGTGAATCCATCAGGACCTGGGCTTTTCTCTATGGGTAGTTTTAAAAAAAATTATTATTACTTCAATTTCATTGACTGACATTGGGTTATTTACAATATTTTTATCTTCTTGCTTCAGCTCCAGTAATTCACATGTATCTAGGAATCTGACTGTTTCTTCTGAGTTTTCCATCTTATTAGAGTACAGGTTCTCATAGTAGATATTGATGATCTAGATTCTGCAGGTTCCAATGTGATTTCAACCTTTTTGATCCTAATTTCATGGATTTGGATCTTTTCTTTCCTTTCTTGTGATTAGGTTCACTAAAGGTTTGTCAATTTTATTTTATCTTTCAAAGAACCAACTCTTCATTGATTCTTTGTATTGTTTTCTTAGTCTTGATTGCATAAATTTCTTCTCTGATCTTTTAATTTCCTCCCTTGTACACACTTTGGGTTTAACCTGCCCTTCTTTTATTGGAAGATTGAGGTTCAATAGTTGGTTATTTGAGCTTGTTCTGTTTTTCTGATATGGGAATTCACCATTATAAATTTCCCTCATAGGAACTGCTTTCATTGGATCCCATAAGTTCTGGTATGTCACATTAGCATTATCATTCAATTGTAGAAACTGTCTAATTTTTTTTTAATTTCATCTGTGATCCATTGGTTGTTCAGGAGGATGTTATTTAATTTTTATGTGTTTATGTAGTTTTGTGGTTTCTTTTGCCATTTATTTCCAATTTCATTTCACTATGATCTAGTAATAAGCATGGGATAATTTCATTTCCTTTGGATTTACTTTAGCATGTTCTATGAGCTAATATGTGGTCTATTTTGGAGTATGTGTCTTCTCAGCATGTGCTGCTGAGAAGAATGTGTACTTTGTTGTTGAGTGGAACACTCTGTAGATATCTACTAAGTTCATTTGTTCAAAGGTTTGGTTTAACTCTAATTTTTTTAATTTTTTATCTAGTTGATTTGTCTATTTGTGACAGTGGGGTATTGAAGTCCCCCATTAAATAGCATTAGTGCTTAGCTGAATTTTTATATCCATTAGTGTTGGTTTTATAAAGTTGATATGCTGGTATTTGATGCATATATATTTATGATTGTTATGTCTTCTTCACGGATTGTTTCCTTAACAAGTATACAGTGACCATCTTTGTCTCTTCTGATCAGTCTTGGCTTGAAATTCACTTTGTCTGCAAATAGAATAGCTATACTTGCTTTTTCTGGGTTCCTGTCTCAGGGAGTATTATTTTCCATTCTTTGACTTTCAGTCTATGAATTTCTTTTTGACTTAAATCATGTCATGGATGTATCTTATTTTTCCATCAATTTTGAAAGATAATTTTGTAGGGTACATCAATCTGGGTTTGAGGAAGTTTTCTTTTAGGGCTTGAAATACTTCATCCCAGGCTGTCTTGACTTAATGATTTGTATTGAGAAGTCTGGCGTGCTTCTGATGGGTTTTCCTTTATAGACAATTTGTTTCTTTTCTCTAATAGCTTTTAATATTTTGTTCTTGTGTTGAATTTCTGGAATCTTGATGATCATATGCCTCAGTGTAGTTTTTTCTGATCATGGCTATTTGAAGTTCTATATGTCTCACTTATCTGTATGTCAAATTCTTTTTCTATGTTTGAAAAGTTTTCTGCTATTTTGTCTGAACAGGTTTTTTATGCCCTTTGTATTTTTTTAAAAAAATACCAGGTATTAAATTCAGGACCTTGCGATTGCCAGACAGGGGCTGTGCCCCTAAGCTACATACCCAGGCCATGTGCTATCTTTTGATTCTTTATTGATTCCAGTTAATCTTATATTAGTCTTTTGCATCATCTAGCAGCTGTTGGATTAATTTTTCATGGTTTCTTGCTATTTTTAAGAGGTCTTTCATTTGATGATCACCACCCACAACCCTGTCTTTTAGATCTGATATTCTGTCATCATGCTAGTTTACTCTGCTGCTACACTTTCAGTAGGATTTTTTAATCTCTTGGATTTCTATTTGAACCTTTTTTATGGAATCCATATGTTGGCCATTGATGGTTTCCATGTTTTTCTTAAGCTCCTTTTAAAAAAAAATCTGTCTACTCTATATTCACTAATCATCTCCTTTATTATGGTGGTCATCTCTTTAATTATCTCTATTTTGTTGTTCTCAAGAGTCTTATTGATCTGTTTTATTACTTCCACTCCCACTATTTCATAAAATTCAGCTGGGAGGTTTTTGATTTCTTCCACCTCGATACCTCCTTGATTTGCCTTGGGTTAGTTGGGGATTATGGGTTGCATCTTGCTTCTGTTTTATCTGATTTTCTATTTTTTCTTTGTTTGTTTTTTGAATTGAGGTTTGTAAATTGCTTATTACTAGAAGGACTCTTAAGGAAATGATTACTTTTCAGAAATGTCTTCTAGGTGTTTGGCTTTTGAGTCTGTCCCAAGATCCTGCCTCTTCAGTTTATTAGGGATGAAACATTGGTGCCTGTTTGGTCTACTACTCAATTAGTTGGCATTGGACTAAGTATTATTTATGATCCCCAGAAAATCTAAGTATTGTCATACAAGAAAAATCAGTTGATCACAACAACATGTTGGTGAAATAGTACAATCAGAAATAACATTAGCATCAAACACAGACCAGAAAATGATCAACTGTGATAACTAGTAACTTGTCACCTTTAAATACAGGTACAGATAACAAGACCAAAGACAAATCAGAAAATTATATACAGTAAATATCTACTCAGTAGAATGATTTTACCTTAAGGGTAGAAAATTTAAAAGTGATAAAAAGAAAAAGTAGAGAAATAAAAGAGGAGAATGAGATTGGAAACAAGGATGAAGGACAAAGAAAGATTAACCAAGCCTTGGGAAACTGGTGAAGAAAACAGGAGAGAAAGACAGGAGGAAAAAAACAAAAACAAAACAGAAAAACTAAAAAAAAATGTTCACACTCACAAAGAAACAAAACAAAAAATAAACAAATGAACAACAAAACAAACAAACAAAAAACCAAAAGCAGAGAGAGAGAGAGATTTCTATGTGATTTTAAGCCTACATTTTTGTGGTAGTATCCATTTCAAAGCATGACTCTGCTCTTGCTGGTAGACAAAGAAGGCAGTCAGAGCCCAGAACTGTGCTGGATAATCCCAGAAAGCCTGTAGTAGGATTAGGGCAAGGTGCTGATTCTGGTATTTTCAAATCCACAGAAGTTCAGGCTGATTTTGGCCTCTGGTCCTGGCGTCGGGGACTGAGTCATTCAGTCTACAATACTCTGGGTGACCGGTTGGCCTGATCATGGCTCCCTGACTTGGATGTTTCCCTCATTTGTTCCTCACCCCATCACTGTGAGATTTCAACACTAGGAGCCCTGAGATGAAGCCAAGCCATGGCTGCTCCAAATCCCAGGTTCAGTTGATCCCTCACTAAAATGGCATCCAACTAAGCACCCTCTCTAGGGGACATGGAAGTCTCTTGGACTGGAGTCACTCACCAGCTACTGTAGCACACAGCATCCGCTGCTGTATTCCACTGGTGCATTTCTCCCTGGAGACCTCTGGAGTCACCCACTCTCACTGTGTCTCTGTAGAGTCAATCCTCCTCTCTCACACCCTGAGCCGGGACCTGGGTAGAAAGTGCAGATTGCCCCCTCCTTTTCTTACATTGAAGTGTGTCTCTTCCTTTTCTCTGTGGACTCCAGTTTTTGCTTTGGAGCCTTCCTGGGTCCCAGAGATCTACTTCCCTGCTTCTTTTCTTCTCCAAGTTGTTATTTTCCCATGTCTGGATTCTGAATCTTGGAGAGGTTGATTTTTTTGCTGCTTGCTGCTCTGCCATCTTTCCAGAAGTTAAAAAAAGTAATTTTGTTCTACTGATTAGAATGTTTCTTTATATTCCTGGTAAAAATGTATACCTGTGATGGTTAATCTTGACTGTCAACCTGATTGCCTTGAGAAATACCTAGGAGATTAGTGAAGCACACTTCTGGGTATGTCTGGATGGGTCATGGGAGTGGGACCTTGGAGACTCTCTCTGGTCACTGCACCTGTCTATTCTGGCTCTCTTTACAATCTACTCTGTTTCACTGCTGCTGTGAGATGTGCAACTTTTCTCCATTTAGGCCCTCTGCCATGATGTTTCTGCTTTGGATCCAGCTGATCATGGACTGAATCCTCTGAAACCATATCCTAAATAAACCTTTCTCCTTTCAGTTTTGTATGTCAGTTTTGTCTTAGTGATGAAAACCTGACAAATATACTACCTATATTTCATAGAATATAGTTGTCATACTGCTTTAAAGATTTTTTTCCTGATTATTCCAACACCTCGGCCATCTCCAAGTTGTCATCTTTTAATTGCTTTTTCTTGAGAATTGGTGATATTTCCACCAATATTTTCAAAGTTATTAACATGTTGAGTAATTTTAGATGATATCTTGAACACTTTCAATACTATGTTTGAGTTCCATTAAAATCCTTTCATGAACATCTTTTGCGTTATCAGGAAGTCAATCTGATTATGTTCAGTCTTCAAGCTCTGTTCACTCTCTGTGGGTAGGGACCCAATGTCCAGTTAAGTTTTTAAAGCCTTTGGCAGATGTGAGATCTGTTCCCATGCATTTCATGTTGACAAGGTCAGAAGTTTACGTTGTATAGTTCAGTTCTCAAAGCCTTTAAAATGCTTCTTTAGTTCTATTCCATGGGTATGAATTTCAGTGGTGAACCCAAGATTGAAGATGGCTCATAGAGAGAATTACATCTGCTTCTCTACCTCTCTTTTCTATAAAATTACCTTCACTCTCAGATCTTATTGGTTGCTTTTCCTGGTTCCTCTAGCCAGCTTTCTTTAAGAATGTTAGCCCCTCTCCTCTCCTATGATGTCACAAAGTTCCATGTGACTGGTCCACCCTGGGGGATCAGTGATGAGAGAAAAGACAGAAACATAGTTGGGAATTGTCTCCTCTCTTAGGTTGACAGGAGCTTCTCCTTCATGTGTTATGTGTCCATGCCACTGTTGTCACTGCAGAGATGATGGAGCTCTGTGATGGGAGCTGGCATTGGGAAAGGGCTGGAGAGAATGGGGTGGGCATCGGGATTTCTCCCACACTCTCTGGCACAGAGGGTCATTTCCCCATTTCTCTGGTCTGAAATAGATTTCTCTTTGTGTTTGTGCTAACCGTATCCACTGTGAAGTTTTTACCAATGTGGTCCACCCTCAGGTCAAAGCTGTAAGATAAAAAAAGATCCCCCCCCAAAACCCTACGAAATTGTGATCATTCCTTAAGCTTATCTTTCTCCCCTAGTATGCCTGGCATTATTTACTTTTCAAAACCCCCTGATGGTAGCTTTTTGTATCCTGTAGAATTGAGCCAATTCCATCTGAGCCAGCACTGGAAGTCCTTAGATTGCATAATTATAATGCATGAAGGTCTTGTTTGTTTGTTCTCCTGGCTTGGGATCCCCTTAGAAGGATAATAAACACCTATTGTGGCAACTTCTCCTTAGCTCTGTATTTGCCTGTGTACCAGGGGACTCTAACACTGCTCCTTTTGGAAGTTCTGTAGCAACTGACATGTCTGTGCCTCACAGCCTGTAGGTGCCAACTGGAAGCTTCCCTGATCATCTACCCTCTCCAATGCTCCTGTGCCCATAAGGCTTGGAGCCTTCTCCTCATGACCCTCTTAGGACAAATGTTAGCCTCTTCTCACAATATTACTTTTATCTTCATTTCTTAACTAAAATCTGCTGTTTTTTTTTTTATCCTGAGGACAATTATCTCTCAGCAGCCCTCCCAAGAGGAGGGTGCTCATTCATTCACCTCCCTCCTTCACCTCATCACCCATGCTATTTAAGATGATCTCACTGCCTGCTCCACAGAGGTATGCACCATCAGGTAGGGATGTCTTCTACACCCTACCATTCTTTTTTTTCTCTCAGTTTTTATTTTTTACTAATACATGTTTGCATTACACAATGATTACATTCCTTGTGGGAGATTGGTACATTTATATAATACATATCAATTATTTTTCTTCATAACCTTTCTCTCCCCTCCCTGCCATTCCTTCTATCCCTTGGTCCTCATTTAAGTTTATGTGTCTGACTTATTTCACTTAAAATTATATTTTTTTGATTCTTTGCATTTAGTATGCGATCTATTATGGAGAAAGTATCATGTGCTACTGAGAGGAATGTATAGTCTATTGTTGTTGGGTGAAATACTCTATACATGTCTATTAAGACCATTTGTTTGAAGGTTTTGTTCACCTCTGATATTGTTGATTTTTTGTCTAGTTAATCTGGCTATTTGTGATAGTGGATATTGAAGTTCCCCCACTACAGTTGTGTTTATGTTTATCTGATCTTTTGTGTCCAGTAGTACTTGTTTTATGAAGTGAGTTGAACTGTTGTTTGGTGCATATATATTATAGTTGTTATCTCTTCTACCTCTATTTCTTATACCTTCTTTACTTCTTCTAATCAATCTTGACTGGAAGTCCATTTTGTCTGAAAGTTGGATAGCTACTGCTGCTTTTTGTCATGTTCCTGTTGCATGGAGTATTGTTTTCCAGCCTTTGATTTTTAGTTTATGAATTTCTTTTTGGATTAAATATCTCCCTCTTCCCAGTTGTGTTCCTTTTGTGGTGAATTGAGACACAAAGGTATCCAGAACAGGCTAATATGTTGCTATCTTTTAAAATCACTTTTCTTTACATGCTTCTTCAACATTTACTTAGGGGAGTGGCTTATACTTGCATGGAGGAAAATGAGAATCAGAGAAGAAAAATGACAGTAAAGCCTCCAGCCGCTGTGCCATCCTCAGCCATTCAGCTGTCACTCATCGTGAAGTTGCAAAACCCTGCCTCTTCAGAAAGAAGCCAAATGGTCTTGTGTTGTTATTTGCACATGCACCTTTGGGGTTTCCCTGCACCTGGATAGCCTGAGGGTGCAGAGTTATGCTTCCAGTCACATCTAATACCGTCCTTCAGAGAGTCACAGACATGCAAACTCACACCATTACTCATTTTGTTACAGTTCTGATGCTATTTTAATGGTCCTTGTAGATTGATGCTCTACACAGCTGGCCAAATTTCTTCTTAATCTGGTCTTGATTCTTTGAGATCTCTTTTATATCTAAGTCTCTCTGTCTCTGTCTCTCTACTATCAATACTAATCTCCACTGTGAACTTGTGTTCCTCTGAACTCTGATAGCCCTTCTTATGTGTGATGACAATGTTATTCATTTGCCTTTGTGTGTTAGCTTTCCATCATTGTGACAAAATACCTGAGAGAAGCAATTTAAAGGAGGGAATTTTTTTTCTGGCTCACTGTTTTGGAGGTTTTAGGCCATATTATGCTGGCTCCTGGTGTGAGGCAAGACTGAATGTCAGAGTGGAAGGAGCATATGGAGGAAGAAGCTGCTCACCTCATGGGGGTCAGGCATCAGAGACAGAGAGAGAGAGAGAGAGAAAGAGAGAGAGCAAGAAGCCCTCAAGGGAGGAGTCTGCACATAATCCCTTCAAAGTCACGCCCTGCCCACTCTTGTGGCCTATGTCCTCCACCAGGCCCCACCTCACAGTAGACCATTGAGCTATGAACTCTTCAATGGACAAATGCGGTTAGCACTTTTGTGATCCAGTCACCTCTCTAGGCTCCATCTCTGAACTTTGCTGCATTTTGGATCAAGCCTTCAACACTCAAGTCTTTGGGGGGACTCTTAACCCATCCCACAATTATGAGAACCAGGGAACCAGGTCTGCAACTGGGCTCTGAAAGTATTCAAATGAGCAAAGTGTCAACCTTCAACAAGTTTATAACCTTTACCTGTCCTTTACTAATATTATGTATCCCTGTGTGTACATCTGACCTTTCTAGCTAAACTGAGTCTTCAAATCATGGATCTTGCCTTTTGCTCCTTTGGCCAGTGTTGCGAGTTGGGGTCCAGACATGGCATGGATGCAGACACAGCAATGGTGAGGATGTAGGGTTGGGGGATTAACACTTTTAAAAGGAAGAAGGAAGCACATTTGGGCAGAGGGAGACATGGAGCTGAGATGCAATCCCAGCAGCAGCTGTCCTCAACACAGTGGGGAGTTCTGAAGTTGGGAATAAGTGGTCTGGCGGCATTTTACACATAACTGCAAACATTCACACTGATGGACATCTGGTGTATGATATGTCCCGAAATAATCTAAGCTGAGATAACCTAATTTGAGGTAATATAAAAATAATATAAAAATTAAAAATGTTTTAAAAATATAAAAGCTGAAATAATATAATGTGAAAGTGCTCCCTCATAGCCCCCAGGTCCACTCAGCTTCAACAGGAGCATCTTCAGGTGAGCCTGTGTGCATCTCACTCAGTCTTCTACCTGGGCCTGCTGAGATCCTGGGGAGCAGCTGCAGCCCCAGGTCTTGTATTAGTCAGCTTTCCTGTCACCGAAACACAATACACAACATCCACGCTTAAAGAAGGAGAGGTTTAATGTAGCTTATGGTTTCAGGAGTTTCACTACAATCTGCAGACTTTAAAGCAGAAACCTTATGGTGGAAGGGCTCCGTGGAGCAAAGCTCAGTTCACTGGGGCCAGGAACCAGAGCAGGTGAACAGCACCAGAAAGGAAGCTGAGTCATTGAGGGTAACAGAGGGATAAGGTAGTGAAATTTGTTAGGTACACCAAACTTGTGCTGGTGGATCTTCTACAGAAGGTGATTAACACGCCAGCCACCACCATGAAGGTGACACAGGAGCTCTACTGGGAGCCACCTTTTACTGGCATTCTAAAGAAGAATAGCATGGCCCATTTCCAGTGGTCTCAAGTGGTCCTGGAAGGCCAGAAGCATGAAGATGAGTAAAACAGGACCATCAGGAGAACAGGTGCATTGCCCGAAGGTGCTGCTAGCTCTTGGGAACCGTAGGTAGGATGGCCAAGCACAGGGCAATGGGAAACTCACTATGATGGGGCCATACCTGACTACTAAGGAAATTCAACCCTCCATCACCCCAATCTGGGCTCCTTTAGTTGCCACAGGAAATTTACCAAGGGCATCCTCATCAAGGGTAAAGACAGTTGGATTTTCCTTTTCCTCCATGCTGAGGAGCAAGTAAATCTGATGGGTCTGAGGATCAGACAATGGGGAGGCCTGAGTCAGACCTGATAGTCTAGTGGTGCCTTTCCTTCTGCCTCCAAGTCTCAAGAGATCAAAGGTAAGATCATAGCTATACTCTCTCTATGTTCCCTATGGCAGAGCAGAGGCCTCTGTGAATGTTTTTTAGACTGCCACTGAGCTAAGCACAAGAGTTATTTACCAGGCAGAAAAAGTCACAGAACCAGTAGTCACCAGAGCCAAGGGCACAGCCTGGAGGTGGCACAATGGATGCCTGCAGAGACAAAGGGCAGGCCAGTGCCTGTCCTCCTCAGTTAGGCAGGATATCTCTAGCTTCTTTGCTCCAGATGCTGATGTGTCCTTCACGTCTACATAAGAAATTATGGGCTATTAGAAAATTAAGAAAAAATCATGATTTGGAGACTGATGGTTAATTTTATGTGTCAGATTGACTGGACTAAGGACTGCCCAGATAGCTGGTAACACATTATTTCTGGGCTTGTCTATGAGGGTGTTTCTGGGAGAGATTGGTGTTTGAATTGATGATCTGAGTAAAGCAGATGATCTGTCCCAATATGGATGAGTCTCATTCCTTCCACAGAGGCCTTGAGTAGAAGAAAAAGTGGAGAAGAGTGAATTTGCTGTCTTGTCTTAAACCAGGGCATCCATCTTCTGTTCTTGGGGAGTACTTCTGGTTCTCAGGTCTTTGGACTCAGACCATGACTTGATCTACCTCAACTTTCGGTTTCTGGGCCTTCAGACTTGGTCTGGGACTCACTCAATCTGTCCCCCAGTTCTCGGGTTTGGATTGGAACTATGCCACCATTTTCCTGGGTATCCTCTGGTCTGCAGTCAGCTGATGATGGGATTTCTCAGTTTCCCTTATTCCTCATAATAAACCTCTTTCTACATATTTACATATATCCTATTAGTTTTGTTTCTCTGGAGAGCACTGACTAATACTTTTGTCTTTGTCAGCTTAGGCTGCCATAATACAATGCCACAGATGAGGTGGCTTAAGCCACAGACATATATTGCTGACCATTCTGGGGACTGAGAAGTCCAGGATCAAGTTGCTGGCAGGCTTGGCTCTGGTGAGGGCTCTCACTTTCTGGCTTGTAGACAGGCGCTTCTGTGTCCTCGCATGGCCAGGACAGTGAGAGAAAAGAGAATAGATACACTCTGGCCCCTCTTCCTCTTCTTATAAAGATTCTGATATCCCATCATGGGGCTTGATATGATGTGACTGTGTCCTCTCTAAAATCAAGTTGTTGGCCACAGGACGCTATTAAGAGGTGGAGCCTCTTAGAGGTGATACAGTTAGGAGCACCCCTCCTTTGTGAATGAGATTAGGCGCCTTTACAAAAGGTCTTGATGGAGGGAGTTGCTCCTTTTGCTTTCTGCTTTTTGTCATGCAAGGGCACAGTTTCCTACTGCCCTGGAGGAGGCCACATTCAAGGCACCATCTTGGAGGTAGAGACTGAACTCTTACCAGACAAAAACCTACAGGCACACAGATCTCAGACTTCCAGCCTTTAGAACTGTAAGAAAATCAATTTCAGTTCTTAGTAAATTACCCAGCCTCAGTTATTTTTGTTAGAGAAGATAAACAGACGGAAACAGAGCCTCACCCTCTGGACCTTCTCCAAAGCTAGTCGCCTTTCAAAGGCCCCCACCTCCAGATGCTGTCACTTTGGAGGGTTAGAGCGTCAATTTTAGGGGGCACAAATATTCCGTTCCTAACACCTTGGAACTCCATGTATCATCACTTGCTGGAAGGGATCAGGCAGCAGGCATGACAGTTCTGGAGAGTGTTATGCTTCCTTCCATGTTCTCTTTATTTTAAAAAGAACTCCACACAGAATAATTAAAATTAATCCCGATCTGAAGAATATCTCTTAATTGCACCAGAACACACTTTAAAACGGGCAAGTCTTAGCCCTGGAATGTACGTTCGGGATTAGGATCTGTTTCAGACATGTCATTTCTTTAGCTAAAGTGGAAGGAAAACAAATTTTATTTGATCTTCCGTAAGATCTTTCCTCAGGATCTTTGACTTCTTCTTCTGCCATCAGATTCTTACTTGACTGAAAAGCTATGTTAAGTAAAGGCAAATTCTTTTCCTCTTTGCACAGAGATTAGCAATCTCTGGGCGATGGGAGTGTTAAGTGACTTGGTTCTGCCGCTCCCAGGTGTGTGTGACTTGTGAAAGGCTGCTCGGCTTTGTGGGCCTCAGCCATACACCTGTACAGGTACGCGTGGCCTTCATTATTGGGTACAAAATTTGACTTTATATCCAGAACTTATGTCTGAATTAAAAAGTGATGAAGACTATCTTAAATAAGATTTTCTTACTTTTGGAGATGTTATGTATCTGAATAAAAATTCTTTTATTCTGAATGCACAAAATAATAGTATACGTATTCACATTCAGTTGAAGTGTATAATTTTTTTTTCTAGAAAAAGTGCATGATGGCCTCCACTTCTTATTTGAGTACCATATTACAAAGATAATGATTTTGGGGAAATATTCAGTAACTTCATAGATTTTCCCAATGGCCTCTCATAATTTGTGAATACTCAGACCATTCTTTTCTGAAGTAATTTATGTCACCATCCTTGCCATTTTCTCTTATCCCATTAGCTATTTTTATTTCCAGCTGTTCTTCATTTGTTAACAGTTCTGCATATGATTGAACACTCCTTTGATGCTGATATGATTGGCTTTGTGGATTTTTTAAATAAGAGTTTTAATTTTCTTTTGAAACTGATTGGCATGGTGTTAATGTTCATAACAATCAGGGAAGGACTGGCCAACAAAGATGTTGACACAAAGGGCAAAGCTAAAACATCAATGCTGAATGAGGCTAAGTGTTAAGTGGTAATTCACTTAGTGAATATCATCTTATTAAAAACACTTTGGCTTCCTTACACAGCCTCATAGCTTTAACAGCTGGATAATGAGGAGTCTAGTGGGTATGCTGAATAACTAACGCCTGAAATGCCTTCCATTTTTTTCCATTCTAGTCTTAGAATCTAAAGCGCATTTATAGCCATATTCCTTAAATTGAGAGGGCTAAGACAAAGTGAGAGTTGTGTGGTGTATTAGTCCATTTTTTGTTGCTATAACAAAATGTCAGAGGCTAGGTACTTTATGGAAAGAAGAGGTTTATTGAGCTCACAGTTTGGAAGGCTGAAAGTCTATTTGGCAGCCCCATCTGCTTGGCTCTGCTAAGCTCACTGTGGCTGCGTCACAAGATGGCAAAGAAACAGGAAGAGAAGCTGTCATGTACAAAGGAAATCACACAGAGAGACCAGAAGGCAGGAAGTGGAAAGGGGGAGGCTTGTTTCTAACAACCTGTTCTCACAGGCAGGCACCAGGACTTTGTTGTTAGAGATTTTCTCATACCTTGGGTATAGTACCTTAAGGCACTTTTGGTGGCAAACACCCTATGGCCCCTATTTCCTTCTTTGTAAGTGATCCATCTAACACTTGGTTATACATGGGCTCAATTTGTTTTGTAACTGCTTCAATCATGTAGTTCTTGCCTCTCCCACCAGGATTTTAATCCTCTAGGGCAGGGACTGTGTTTTCTAACCAGCTACTAAATTCGCTTTTGTAATGTACAGTGTTAACTCGATTTATAAACTTAATTTGTTTTATGATTTGGGGGAAGATGGCTGCGTTTGTGTTTGTGTGGGGAAGATGGCCATTTGTCACCCAATTCAGAGGTTGAAAAGAGAAGTAAAATTTTGCTGAATGCTTTTGTTTACCAACCAAATTGTTTGCAAACAGAAGCAACTGAGATTTCGCTGTATAAATGAATGGTCTTGCCAGGGTGATGGGAATATGAGTAATTCTTTTCA